TTCACCAGTAAACCCCCCCCCCGCCTCAAGGGGACACCCAGGGGCAGCTCCCACGCTCGCCCGGCGCTCCGGTTCCGCTCTGCCCCTCCCCTCCTTTCTCCTCTCCGTGGGTCCTCGTCCTCTGCCAACGCCACCAGCCAGTTGGACCCCACCCTGGAGCTCGGCCCCGCTCCCTCTCTGGCTCCCACCATCGGAAGCGTCTGCCGTGGGCTTGGCTGTTCCGTTTCTCGTGAGCAGACCCAGCGAGCGTGGCTTCTCCGAGGCTGTGTGCTCACTTTGCAAAACCGCAGAAATTTATAGCCCAAGTAATTGATCACGGTGCCGCTGCCTCCCCTCCATCTCTCTCGGGCTCCTAATTCCCTTCTCCCGCTCTCCTTTCTCTTTTTTCTCAGCACACCATCTGTGGTGTCAGAGAAAAGGAAGCCAAGGGGGGGGGGGATTCTAGTCCCTGTTCTGCCAATTATGAGTCACATGAACCTCAGTTTCCCCATCCGCACAACAGAGACGCTAATAATACCCGTTCACAAGGATGCTAGGGCCGTGAGTACCCATATGATATGCCCTCACCCTGCAGAGCAATCCTGTGAAGTGGGGGGTGGCCCTGGGGCTCCCTTTCCTGATGGGGATGCTGAGGCCCAGAGAGCTTGGGGCATTCACTCAGGCTCACAGAGCTGGTAAACAGGGAGCCCTGGGGCTTGCACTTGAGTGATTGTGCCCCAAAGCCCAAACCATTAGACTACACTGCCTCCCCTCCCCACAGGCCAATCAGAGCAGAGGTGATCCTGGCCAGGCCCCCGGCCCCTGGGTCACTGCAGCCGGAGGCTAACTATGGGGGAGAAGAGGAGCCCCCTGACACTCTCCTGGATCAAGGCCCTTGACTAGAGTCTGGGTGACTCTGGGACCTAAGAGCTTGCCTGGCCCTCAGATTCCTTCTCTCCTTCCAGAGACCCCATGTGAATAGGGGCCTCCTGCTGGCCGGTCTACACTTGCCAGCTTCCTGGTGCCCCCAGGGGGGTCCACAGAACCTTTCAGAATGACCCACAAACAGACTCTGCAGAGCACTTCGCTTGCCCTTCAAGAGGCAGATGAAGCACCCAGGCCTGGGAGAGGCGGCCCAGGTACCCCCACTCCCACCCCCTGCCTGTGCCCTGCAGGCCTGGCTGGAAAGCCACCTCCTGACTCCCATTCCAGTGCTCGCAGGCCGGCAGCCATTCCTGCCCCCTTCTGTTCAGTTCTGGGGGAGGGGGGGAGAGTATTTCCAGGGGGTGAGAGCTTGTCTTTTCCCTTCCACTGCCCTCTCTTTCCCCTTCTCAGTCTAGCTCTGTGTCTGCCTCTCTCTGCTAGCCCCCAGCCTGCACGTAAGGACTTGCTTTCCTCCCGTGCAAGGCCACACGCCAAGTGCAGAGCCTCTTGGGCTCCCTCAGCCTCCGAGGGCGCCTCTGCGCGCAGCACCCGGCCTCCTCCCTTCCCCATCGCAGCCCGGGGTCCGCAGCTGGGGGGCAGCCGGTATGTTTTGTTCCCCCATTTCTGGAAGGACAGGAGGCTCCAGCCCCTGCGGCTTCCTGCTCCCGCCCGGCTGGCGGAGATGAGAGCCGGCTGCAGAGCTGGGAGCCAGGCAGCAGCACACAGAACAAACAGAATTTTTTTTTGCAACTAGAGGGGGAAGCACAGAGCTAAAAATAAAACGAAAAGATCAGTATCTGTCAGTCTGACAGCTGATTGGCTGCTCGGAGATGCATATAATTACCAGCAACTGGCTCTGGGTAGGCAAAGCCGGGAGAAACTGCTGAGATGAGGTTAGGATTTAACCTTTACATTCTGGAGCCACCGGAAGCCGAGGGGAGGACGACGGGCGTCGGTGCTAATGAGGCTGGGGGGCCGCCGAGTCCGGGGGAGGTCCCGGGGGCTCCTCCGGGAAGGCCCCGGGAGCCCTCCGCCCTGGCTGCCTCCTCCATCAGACTGGGAGTGCATCTGATTGGGCGGCCTGGAGGCAGTGGTCCTTCTCCCCGCCCAGCTGGGGGTGGTGTCTTTCGGGAAGCCGGGGTCTCACCCGGGACTGAGTGAGGGGGCTGCCTAGGGCCCTGGGCCCCTCTCAGACTGGCCCCCTGTGGAGGCCCACCCATCCCCACCCACATTCCTCAGCTTTTCCCAGGCTTGGTGTTGGTTTCTGCAACCCATGGGGGGCTCCCTCCATCCTCACCCCGAGTCACCCACTCGGGGCTGTTTCCTGCCCCACCTGGGGAGGGCATCTGGGCACCTCCGGCTTGTCCTAGATCCCCGGAGATAGACGAAGATGGCAGGACTAGAGGGATGTTGGGATGCGTCCCTAAGCCTCAGTTTCTTCACCAGTAAAATGGGGGTGATGATAGCAGGCCCACTGACCCCGTGGCAGATCCAGGGGTGCGTGGGGCCCAGGCTTGCGTCTTGATTCTCGCCTGAGCTGGGAGCCAGGAGACGCAGGCTCTAGTCCCAGCCGGGGTTGATCCCTTTCTCTCTTAGGACTGGTCTCCCATCTGTGAATTGAGAGTAAGAGCTCTGGTCCCCTGACCTCCCAAGGGGGCACGGTGCTCCAAATGGGCTGGTGGAGGTGAGAGTGGAGGTGACGTTGGAGGTGATGGTAGGAGAGAGCTTCATTCTGTTCCTGGAGCCCACCACTTTCTCTGTCCAGGGCCTCTGCCTGGAACTCCCTTCCTTCCTCTCCAACCCTTCCCTTCTATGCCTTTCCTCTGGGAAGCCCTCCCTGATGCCCTGGCTGGTCCTCTTGTGCCGCACCTGGGGGTCTCACCTTCTGTTCAGGGCCCCTCGAGAAGGGAGACCTACAGGTCCCTGATGTGGGGCCTACCCTGTGGCCCTGGCAGCCACCTTGGGCCACACTGCCCAGGCTTAGGGCAATCAGTGGCCTTGGTCGGTGGGGAGCCATCTTTCTCCCCTGTCTCAGCAGGCCCCAAATGCCTGGGGAACCCCTGGCCTGGCCCTCTGAGCACTGACATTTTGAGGTGACACCCAGGGGATGCTGCTTCTGCGCAGGAGGGAGGGGAGGGGGAATGCCACCTTAATGTCAGGGCCCTGGCCCTTGCTGCCCCCTCCTCAGAGTTTGCCTACGCAGGCACGGGTCCTTTTCCTGAGCTCTGTGCGGCAGTGGGTGGAGCTGCCTGGGTGCTAGGACCTGGGCAGCCCAGACTCCCCGGCCGGAGACCCTGCCCAGAGCTCCTAACTGGGGTGGGACGCAAAGGGCAGGTGGGGGAGGGCAGGAGAAGGAGATTGTCATGGTTCGCACTCATACTTCCCAGCCTGGCTGTGTCTGCCCATCTGAGACACTCCAAGGCATATCTCACGGAGCGCCCACGAGGACTCCTTGAAGGCAGGACTATTGTTGTTTACATTTTGCAGACAAGGAAACTGAGGTTATTGGAGCAGAGAGTCTTGAGGATGCTTTTGTGGGTGGTGTGCCTAGAAATTCTCTGTTGGGGTCTCTGTGAGAGATTAGGAGCATTTAGACCACTTTCCAATGATTGGGAATGTCAGAGTGGTGTTTCTTTTGAACCACCCCCCCGCCCCCCGCGGTGATGAGACTGGGCCCCGAGGCCGCCCGGTTTTATTCAGGTTACAGGGATCATAACAGCAACCCCAGCGACCAGAGCTGCTTTCACTGACTGAGTGTTCGGCACCTGCTCAATGGACATATATTGCTGAGACCCCAGCGCCCAGACTAGCTCCACAGGATGCAGTAGGACAGGAAAGCTTTGCTGGACTCATTTCAGATGAAGAGACTGAAGGTCAGGGAGGTCCCATAGCTTGCCAGGAGGGACCCCCGCGTTTCTGTGGCTTGAGAGCCCGGATTCTCATCACCAGCTCACCCAGCTGCTTGAAAGACCCTTCGGGAAAGCTACAGAGCACGGATCCTCCCACCCCCCACCCTCCACCAACTGTTCTCAGGTCTCGTACTGAAACCCAGGAGCCTTCTAAACTGAATCTGCCCCTTCCCCACCTTTTCCTTGCTTCCTAAGGAATCAGACAGAAGTTGGCTGGAGGTAGCTCGGTCTTAGGGAATTTGCACTCTTCCAGAATTGGTGGTTTTTGTGTGTGACCTGGTTCAAACCTTCCTTCTTTGTCCTTTTGGTTCCCACTCAGAGAAATCTTTGAAGTGGATTTGGCCCTCCTATATGATTACTGGCCAGGTTAATTCATATGTGCAGTTGGTCACTGTTGCTTATCTCTGGGATGGGGCCCCTGGTTCTGGGGGGTTTAAGCAAGCATCTCAGAGAAGCCAGGGGTTAGAAACCCAAGATGCTAATAGTTAAGAGCTTGACTCTACCACTGAGTGACCTTGGGAACCTCATCTGACCTCTCTGAGCCTTGGCTTCCTCATCTGTAAAATGGGGACGTGCATGTGTCAATCTTCATGCCTGTCTGTAGGTGGGGAGAAAGAGGTCAAGCTCTCTCTTTAAAAAAAAACAAAAACATTTTCAGGGCACCTGGGTGGCTCAGTTGGTTAAGGGTTGAACTCTTGATTTCTGCTCAGGTCATAATCTCGGGGTTGTGGGATCGAGCCCCGTGTCAGGCTCTGCACTGGGCATGGAGCCTGCTTGAGATTCTCTCTCTCCCTTTCCCTCTGCCGCTCCCCCCCGCAATTTCCACAAACAGCATAAAATTTTTATCCCTATACTTTAAGAAATGTTGGTTAAAAAAATCTGTCCAAACATGTCTGAGCCCCTGCTGTGTGCCCAGCATTGCACTGGGCCCTTGGAAGACTGGATGGTGATATCCCACTTGAGGGCGTGTCATGCATGCTAGGCACGAGTGAAGGAAGTCTTCACCTGCTCAGGCCACCCTCACACAACCCCCGGGATGGCCTTTTCCTGGGTGAGGAGACAGAGGCCCAGAGAGGGGAAGTGACTTGTTGAAGATCCCGCTGGGAGAAACTGAGAGGCCAGGCTTTGGATGTGGGCACTTTGCTCTTTTTTTTTTTTTTTTTAAGATTTTATTTATTTATTTGAGAGAGAGGGAATGAGAGAGAGCAAGCACATGAGACGGGGGAGGGTCAGAGGGAGAAGCAGACTCCCTGCCGAGCAGGGAGCCCGATGTGGGACTCGATCCGGGGACTCCAGGATCATGACCTGAGCCGAAGGCTGTCGCTCAAACAACTGAGCCACCCAGGCGCCCGGGCACTTTGCTCTTAATGAATAAAACAGAGCCCCGCTTCCAACAGGGGCTCAGTTTGGTGGGGGAGACACACCCTCAGGACTTTGAGTGCTGACTGTAGGGCACCAGGCTTTTAGGGCATAAAGATGAACCAGAGATGGTCCCTGCCCTAGAGGAGCTACATCTCCTAGGATAGACCAATGAAAACACCTGGCGGACCAGGGGGCACACAAGCCTGGGTTACTGATCCATCCCAGAAAGAACCACTGGGAAAACTCCCATGGGACCTTGCTTTAAAAAGCCCCCTCGTTGGTGCATCGACATCAGAGTTCTAGGCCCTTTGCTGTGGCTGAGGCCGACGGTGCATTTTTTATATCGCAAAACAGACTCCTCTTGTGTTGTATTTGAAGCCCAGTTTGGGGGCGCCTGGGTGGCTCAGTTGGTTGGACAGCTGTCTTCGGCTCAGGTCATTATCCTAGGGTCCTGGGATCAAGCCCCGCATCGGGCTCCCTGCTCAGCGGGGAGCCTGCTTCTCCCCCTCCCTCTGCCCCTCCTTCCTGCTTGCTCTCTCTCTCTCTCAAATGCATAGGTAAAATCTTTTTTTTTCTTTAAAAACAAAAAAAGAGAGAGAGAAGCCCAGTTTGCTTGGCATTCACTCAAGTGTTCTAGTCCGTGGTCTTGAACTAAGGTCTCCAGCTTCTGTTACTCAGACATGTGACAATCATTTTTATGAAATCACTGTGCCCCTCCCCCTCCCTATCCTGTGCCCGAAGTCTCAGATGGAAGGACACCTTTCAGTGGCCCTGAGCTCTGGGGTCCCCACCACCACCAAGACATCTTCAGATGGGGGACGCCGGTCTTGGCAACGGGCCGCAAGGTGAGATTGTCAGTTGATTGCGAGTCCTCTGCATCCACCAGACTTCAGAGCCCTGGGTCTTCAACCTCTGAGTGCTCCTGGCTAGTACCTACAAGGCCTCACACCTTCTCTGGGTATGGGGTGGAGGTGGGGGGTGGGAGATGGAGGGCAAGGGTCAGCCTAGACCCACGTGCCCAAGATGGGAAGGAAGGTGCCGGGTGGAGGGAAGCTGCACTGAGAGGTCCGTGCCCCATCTTGCAGCTTTCTACAAGAAATTCACGTTCCTCTGTGGCTGATTTCCAATATGCTCCCCTGAAAACCTGCAAACAAGAGCCTGCACATCATCCTCAAGGACAGCTTTCGCTGAGAACTTGGTCTGAAGAGCATCCAGCGAGGACCTGGGATGTGCGCACGGTTGGCCCCGCCCCATTGTCCTTTGCTTCCTGGGGCAGGCTGAGGCGGCCCAGCGCTGCCGCCCATGGGGGCTGTCCCTACACCCCAGCACCCCAGGACCGGCAGGGCTGGGAGGGGGCTGGGAGGCCCCCACCTCGTTTTAAAGAAAATATGGGAAAGCAGGTGCCGCTGCTGAACAAAGAAATGGAGACACTTGCCCTCTCTTCGGTAACTCAAAGTTCTAAATGAATTCCTCTTGCTCTCTACACTCCCTCCAGAAAAGTCCCTCCTGCTGTTATTTGCCCCAAGGCCCATGTTTGTCCAACAAGCAAACTGCATTTGGGAAGCCTTTCACATTTTAGGTTAATCAGGTGCAACAAGGATGCCTGTTCAAATCCCATCATTTCCGCTCCCCCCCCGCCCCGCCCCCGGAGAGTCTGAATGACTCTGTCCAAACATCTGTCTGAACATGGTGGGTTGATAGAATCCCACCCAAAGTGAAGAAACGGGATGGTGCGTGTGTAGCTCGCAGTGGCCTGGTCATCAGTAAAGCCATGGTGACCATGGGAAATTGCAAGAAGCTGTAAACAGCATGGAGCGCCCCCGCAGACAGCTTTTGAGGGCCCCCCAGGGAACCCAGTTTGGGAACCGTGGGGCTAAGCCAGCTAGGATGGAGGCGTAACTCTTTGACAATCCCACAGCCACTCCCACTTCCCCATGGAGGGAGTCCTCACGCAGCAGAGCATGGTGACTCTGCTGGTATTTGGCTGTGTGATGTTGGGTAGATGGCTTTCCCTCTCTGAGTTTCTGGATCTCACTGCCTCCCTCCTGGGTTGTGAGTGGTCCATAAGGCCTGGGTGTCTTTACTGTTGTCATAACCTCTTGTTCGGGTCTCCTGACTTCCCACCCCTCATGCCCTGACCATGTCACTGGATATCTGTGACGAAAGCGGGTGCAGAGGGGTAGAAGTCACCTGGAGCCCTTCTGAGAAGCCATCTGTGATGGGATAGAGAGCCTGGAAGGGGAGGGAGGAGCCCAGGAGCGGGCAGGCTGGGGGCACCTGGACATGGTAGTTCTGGGAAGCATCTGAGCACTCCCCAATTTTAATATGCCCCAGATCACCTGGGGATCTTGTACGAATGCAGGTTCGGATGCAGCAGGCCTGGGCAGGGGCTCCCAGGTGAGGCAGCTGCTGGGGCTGCACTCTGGCCCAAGGAGGAGGCCAGGCCACTGGTATCCGGGAGAGATGGCTCCAGAAAGGCCTGAGAGCCCCAGAATGTCCATGCCTGGAAAGACAATGCAACATGAGGGTAAAATTATGTTTTCAACAAAAGAAAAGCCCTCTGCCTCCTAACATGTAGAAAGATCTCTCTTCCCACCCCCACGCAGCCCCAGGGGCCCGAAAGAATGCGGTTTTCTCAGCACAGCTTCCCTCGCTGAAGGGGGTGGATTCGCTTTTAAAAAGTTGCCTGTAAAATGAATTTTTCTATATCAAATGCTATTTTCCAGCAGTTCGTGTTTTAAGACCAGGGTAGCATTCCCACTGAGAAATCTCCAACTCTGAGGCCTTGGCATTGAGGATTCGACCCTTGCCCACTTGAGGGGTGGGGAGGGCACAGCAGGCCCACGTGCCGGGGGGGCTACGGAACCCAGGAGAGCTGGCGTGCAGAGTTTGGGAACTAAATCTGAGCCCTAAATGGTCCCCTCATGGTCTGAGGTCCATGGCCAGACACCGGCCTGGCACCCCTGACCAATACCACAGAGTGTTAGGCTGGTGGGACCGGCGGGACCCAGGGCAAACCAGCCCCTCAACTGGGAAAGGGGCCCGGACAGGCTGTCTGTCATGGCACGCCGGCCACCATGTCTTTGTGTAGAATACCATAGGCCACACTCTGAATGTCAGGCTGGGGGTGTTTTGTTTTTACACTGGGCACAATCCTTTAATGTACTCAAGGAACTTGCTGTCGTGACAATTCGGCTGTGTTTCCCAAAGAGCGCTCTGAAGCTCTGAGGCCAGAGTTCCACAAAGACTCCTGAGAAATGCAGGGTTAGGAGAAGGCTAGGTCAGAGGGGTCTGCTGGGATATGCCAAGGAGCACTGGGAATCTCAAATAAGAGACTCAAGTCATGGTCTGCCCACAATGGACAGACGGTGCTTTTCCGGAGCCTAGTCTGGGATCAGTACTCCATAGAGCACACTGCGGGAAGCAAGTCAATGAAAGGCTCTCATAACTAACAAGTCTCCCAGTTCCTGTATTAGTTACCTACAGCTGCATAACAAATCACCCCAAACTTAGGGGCTGAAGACCATAAGCATTTATTCTCAAAGTTTCTGTGGGTAAGGCATTGAGAAGTGGGTTAGCCAGATGATTCCGGCTCGTGGTCACTTTTGAGGTGGCTGCCAAGGTGTTGGTGGGGGCTGCATCATCTGACAGCTTGACCGGGGCTGGACAATGGGCTCCTAAGATGGCAAGGTGGAGAGCTCAGTTCCTTGCCATAGTTCCTTCCCTGTAGGGTTGCTTGAGTGCCCTTACAACATGGTGGCTGGCTTCCCCCAGGCTGAGCGACCCCAGAGAGCAAGACTGAAGCCATGGCGCCTTTTAGGACCTAACCTTGGGTCATTTCTGCTGCATCCTGTTGGTCACACAGGGCAGCCCTATTCGCCGTGGGAAGGGCCTACGGAGGTGTGAACAGCAGGAGGTAGGAATCGTCTGGTGACCATCTTGAAGGCTGACTGCCCAGTCGCCATCACTTCAGTACAAGAAGGCCAGGAAGCATGTCTCCTTCACACAGTTGGGGTCTTACCATTGAGTGCCGATTAGTGACTCTGACAGGTGAACCTGCTAACCTGTGATCTAGGGAAGGGAAGAGCACAGCAACCAACCAACACAGCAACAGCTCCGTATTCATCCAGCCCCATTTCTTGAGCGTTCTCCGTGTGCTGGGCGTGTCATGGGCATCATGGCACTGTGCAATCCTTGTCCCCAAGTGGTAGGTGCCACTAGTGTCCCCAGATTAGGCCACTCCTTCCTATGATGTGCCTAAAATGAGATGATTTTGTGATGAGGGCTATAGTAACACAAGCGGGTCTACCTTCTGGAAGTTCAGAGACCCCGGTGAACCCATGTGGAGAAGAGTGGACAGTAAACTTAGGATGGATAAATGGATAATAAAGAGGTGAGATAAAGTCTTGCTTTCATGTACATGAACAAGGTGCGGGGTCAAGACGAGCCAGGGGAATCTTGGGTTTACCGGAGCCTCACTGCTGTGAGAAGCGGTCCCATCTCCAGGCTGGGAGGCAGGGAGGCCGAGGGGTCAGGAGCGTGGACCCGGGTGCCTGAGATGCCTGCATCCCAGGCCTGCCCATCTGCTATTTGCTGTGCGACCCCAGGCAAGTGACTTCATGGTCCTCAGTTTCCCCTCTGCAAAACGGGGTGATGCTGGTGAACCCCTCAGGTTGTATTGATTCTGAGAGATGATCCTTGGCCCAGCATGAGGGCTCTGGATTAGTTTACCCTGACAAAGCTGGTGGCGCCCCAGGTTCAAAGAACACTTACAGAAGCATCACTGCCTGGAAGGAGCCTTGCTCTGTGACCGAGAGTGGACCCAGAGCCCCAAAACAGACATCAGCCATTGTTTGGGTAACCTCAGAGGGCTGGAAGGAACTCAGCCTCTCCTTCCGTTTGGGGCATGTGCAGGCGTGGTGCCTGCCCAGCCCCTTCCTGTCCTGTTGGGGCATGATTTTAACAGAGGGAGCATCCTGGGTGTGTTTTCCCCCCAGAAATCTCAACCCGCTGAGCAGGACCTGGGGAGCTCTGGCTACATGTGCTGTGCCAGCAAATAGACCAGGCATGGACTCTCAGGAAACGAAATGCGGGCACTGGTTCCTGATCCCTCAGCCTAGGCCTGGGTCAGGCTGACCTGGGAGCACCTTGGCTCCATCCCTTGGGGCTGTGTGACTCTGGGCAAGTGCCTCAGCCTCTCTGGACCTCAGTTTCTCCATCCCTAAAGTCTGGGGATGGACTCCCCTGCTGGCCCGCGGTCCATTCTGAAGAGCCTGGGGCTGGCCAGGAAGACAGAGCCCACGTGGGTGTGCACGGGCCAAGTCCAAGGACCCCCCCCCCTTCCTCTCCAATCAGGGCAACTCCCATTTTCATCTGCTTGGTATGTCAGTGTTCTAAGTAGTACTTCATTAAAAAGAAGAAGAAGGAAAAAAAAAGAAAAGAAAACATGTCCACAGTGAAAACAATACGGTCCAGAAGTTTCCTACCAGCTTGCTCTGTCCTCCGGCTCATTCCTTCAAGCTCTACGGGAGCAGAGGAGTAGACTCCTCCATGAGCTGGGTTTAGTGACTGCCCATTTCCAAACGGTTCTCGGTTTCCTGGGTTTGGGGGTCTCCTCTGTGGGTGCCAAGGTCATGGGCAGGCTGGTCTCCTCCCTGGACACATGCTGTGGGCATGCCTGCCCCTCCGCCCCTGTGCCCGGGGCCCACCCACCACGGCCGGCCCAGCTCCGCCACACCTGCCTCTCACGGAAGCTGCCCATGGGTCTGTTCCTTCACCTGGGAAGTGAGGAGGCTGTGGACCTGGATGATCTCTCAGCTCCTCTTAACTTCGACACTCTAATTGCTGCATTTATTGAGGTCCAGCTGTCTGCAGAGCCGTGTCCAGGGCGTGGAAGGGGCCACCTACCATCCTGGTAGGAGGAGCCAGCCTGCGCTTGTGGTCTCTGGCCAGCCTGGGGACAGCACGGCTCGGAGTGGCCACCCAGGCCCCAGGAGAATCCAGTGCCAGGCCCGGCTGCCAGGCTGCCATTTGAAATGTCTCCTGTTGGTGGCACTTTGGCGTGGTTCAGGTGTTCTGGTCTTAGAGTGTATTTGGTTTGTACTTGAAAACATGTTAGCTCCCTCTCTCTGTGAAGATTCTGTTTTTCACTCGAGGGAATCATAGGGCCTGGAGCTGGATGATTCCCCAGGTAGAACCCATCCATGGCTCCTCACTGCCTTCCGAAGACCATCTAAGGCTGGGAGTGGCCCTAAGGCCTTCTGGAACCTGGCATAGGCCAAGCCCTCCCATCTGAGGGCTCTCCACCCCTTTACCCTCTCTCCTTCAGACACACAGACTAGAACATGCCCACCTCTCCCTCCCTCTTCTCTCTAGAGCCTCATGCAGGCTGCATCCTCTGCGTAGAACACTCCCTCTCCTCTTCCATGGCTCCCGAAATGTCATGTCCTCCAGGAAGCCCTCCCTGCCTCATTGAGCCACTTCAGTTCATGTGCAGGCTCACCCTGTACTTCTCCTTTGTAGCACTCATCATTGTAATGATCTAAAAAAACTCCTCTTTATCTGACGACCCCTCTTCCCTTCCCCGCCATACCAGAACATGGGCTCCGTGAGGACCTCCCTGTCTGATTACCCAGGTCCAGTGCCCAAGGAGAGCTCTGCAAATGTCTGCTGAGTGAATCCATGACTGGAGACAGCCTGTTGATTAAGGTTCGTAACCCAGGGCCAGCCAGGGCTGCCAGCGATTCACCTGACCAGCTCACTCAGACCCTGGGCACCCCGGTGGCCACCCCCCTCCATCCTCCCACCCGAAGGCTCTGCCTGCAAGGACAGAAGGGGTTAAGTGTTTCTGGCCGCCTCGTGCTGTGTCTGTGGCAGGCAGTTCCCTCTTCCAGGGCTGCAGCAACCGAGGTTGGCGAGGAATGTTTGCAATGCGGAGCTAGAAGGGAGGGCGGGCTGGTGGAGGTGGAGGCCTGTGGAGGCTGGCTGGGCCAGGCTCCCCAGTTGAGCAATCGCTGGGGCCCCAGCCGGTTCCTGTAACTCCTGCCCCTCCCGCCTTTTCCCGCCTTGCCGGCTTCCTCCACCCGCAACTGCCGGGCAGTGGGGGCGGCCTGTGCTCAGGAGCGGGAGCGGCGGAGGGAGGTGGAGGGCCAGAGGCCCAGGGAGCTGGGAGGCCAGGGGCGAAAGGGAGGGGCTTCCAAGGAGAGACAGAGAAGGAGTATGGTTAGCGCAGCCACCTTGGTCCAGAGAGGGCAGGGCCTTTGCCCAGGGTCACACAGGGAGGCCCCACGGAACCGGACCACACTCTGGATTCAGCCTTTTTTTCCCCATGGCACCAGGCTACAGCTCCATGCAGCACGGAGGTCAGCGTGCGACTCAGATGGGACGCTGTCTCCACTGAAGGCAAAGACCGCCCCCCCACCCCCCAGCCCTGGCCTGGCTCTTCACTCAAGCCCTAGGGGCTCAGAGAGGAAGGTGGCTTTCACTGGCCTGGGCGCACCCCCCACCCCCGTCACCGCTCTAGCATTGCCCACTGCTTAGCCTGTCCTGGGGACACTGGTCACCTCCATTCCTCACCTCCGGGAGTGTGGAGTGAACGGATGGAGGGCAAACTTGAGCTGGTTCTCGAAAGCCCCCTTTCCTTCCTTATTCCCATCCCTTTCAAGGAAGGACCTTCACGGGTACCGCCCAGGCACAAAAATGGATTTCTTTCTCCACGAGCACACACCTTCTTTGGGAGACGCAGCATTTCCCGGCACCCCAGAATGAGCCCCGGCACCCCAGAATGAGCTCCGTCCGCTGACAGTATTTACAAGGGACCATCTGGGGAGGCGGCCTCTATAGTCACTCAGACCAGATTTGAATCCCAGCTCCCACCTCCTTCCAACTTCGTAGCCGTGGCACCTCTTACTGAGCCTCAGTTTCCTTCTCTGTAAAGTGGAATTAAGGGAATTAAAGGAGAGGTGGGTGAAATGGTCAGCAGCAGGCTGTTTCCGCTAAGGCTCTGGGCCACTTGCCTTTCCCGGGCCCACAGACATTCAACCCGTTTGGGGCTTGCTCAGGGTGTTCCCCGCCCCCCCCCATCCAGGCCCTGGGCTTTGCCTAAGCTGCCAGAGGATGATGGGCTCGGCAGCCCTCCGAGGTGCTGCCTTGGCCACATCTGGTGGAAACAGCAGTGGAGGTCCTGGGACCGCACATGTCTGGAGGGCGGGGTAGGTGATCTGTGTGAGCTAGACATTCCTATGAGAATCAAACACCCCGTTTACAGGTAAGGAGGCTCCAGGGAGCAGTGACCGGCCAGGCCATGCAGACGTAGAGAGGGATTTTAACCCGGAAAACCACACCAGTAACACCAAGGACCCTCCTACACTGTGTTCTGCCATCATTTATGGATTCCTTACTTCATGCCAGGCAATGGCTGACCTACTTTAATCCAACAACATGCCTAAGAGGGAGGTAGATTGAGCCTCATTTTTCTTCCCGCAGGAAACAGAGAGGTTGATGCACTCGCCCAGGGTCACACAGCTTGGAAGGAGTGGAGCCTGACTTTGAATTCAGGCCACCTGCCTCCAGAGCCTGTGCTCTTGGCCAATCTTCACACCTGGCTTGGGAACCTGGCCCCTGCATAGAGGGCTGGGCCACTTGGCTGAGTCGCTTAAGCTCCAGAGTCACAAAGTGAGGGAAGAATCTTCAGCACCCACTGGGGGTGGGGAGGCGCTGTGCTAAAGGATCACTGCCGCGGGGTGAGGGTGAGGGTGAGGGGAGCTCAGAGGGGCCAAGCCTCTTGCTCCACAGGGCGCACAGCCAGCCGAGCCAGGCCCCACGCCCAGGCTGATGGGGGCTCCGCGTCCCTCCCTGCTCCCTGTCCCGGGCCCCAGCGGGCAAGGACCCCCACAGCCGGCTGGGCTCCAGCGGACAGATGGACAGATGATGGCCGCCCCCTCCCAGGGCCTGCGGGCTGCGTGGCTTCGCCACCTCCTCCCGAGCAGGTTTCCTTTAAGAAACCAGAAGATTGATTTCCTGGCAGGCTCTGCGCCGAGGAGCCCGTCCAAATGGTTTGCATGTCTGCATTTTTTACTGCTCCGTTTAATATGTATGCAAATGCCGGCCGGCTGCGCCCGCCCGGCCGCACAGTCACACGCGGCGCCCCATTAAAGCGGCCGTCCGGGCGCGCGCCTCCTTCCAGGCGACGGGCTCGGGCCCTGATAGATGGGGTGCGGGGACGGAGACAAATGACGGGCTTTGTAATTTCTTTTTCTCTTTTTCGGGGGGCGGGGGGGGGAGCGGCTCAGACTGGAAACAGCAGAGGAGATTTAAATATATGCAAAATTGTTTGGAGGTTGGTGGGGGAGAAACCTGAACGCGGGAGAAAATTCAGCGTTTCCTCCGTGGGAGTCGGGCTGGA